TTACCCCTTTTGCCCTCCCCTCCACCCTCTTCCCCTCTGGTAACCACTAACCTGTTCTCCTTAACCATGTCAAAGGAGATGTTTTTTGTTTTTGTTTTTGTTTTGTAGAAATTGAATGGGGAATGCTGAAGTTTATGTGGAAATGCAAAGGACCTAGAATAGCCAAAACAATTTTGAAAAAGGATGAAAGTTACATAAGCTAATCTCAAGACTTACTATAAAGGATAGAAATAGCTCAATGGATCATAATAATGAGAAATAATAGATCCAAGTAATTCAGAAGGGAAAATGATAGTCTTTACAACTGTATCTTTGAGTGGGAAAAAAAATGAATATCATCTTTTCTCACCATACGCAAAGTTTAACTCAAAATGAATCATAAACTTAAATGTAAAAACTAAAATTCTAAAATGTCTAGAATAAAACTTTTGCAATTTTGGGAAGGCAAAGATTTCTGGGATAAGTCACCAAAAGCAAGAACCATTTAAAAATGATATATTGGACTTCATCAAAATGTAAAACTTCTCTCCAAGAGTCACTCTTAAGGATATATAATAAGACAAGCCACAGGCTGAATGAAATTATTCTCAGTAGTCAACCCAATTAAAAACTGGTAAAAAGACTTCTGATCTGAACAAGATGTCATAGGTACAGTCTTCCCTGCCTCTGCCAACTAAGTACAACTATAAACTCTTGAAATGGTGCAAAAGACAACCAAAAGAGAATTCTAAACAGTGGGAAGAAGAAGGCAAGCTGTTTTGAGACCCCAGGACTAGAAGAACAGCACAGAAGCATGGTGACTTCCATCTGCCTCACCCAGCAGGGGAAGGCTACCTAAACTCTGTGTTTCCTGGCCCCAGAACTGGCAGCCAAAGGCACCCAGTCAGGCTTATTCCTCCCCTGATCAAATGAGAAGGGCCAGGGCTAGCCATTCTCATTCACTATTATTTTCCATGGTACTGGGAGTACTAGCCGCTTCAATAAGGCAAGAAAAAGAAACAAAGGCATACAAATTGGAAAAGAAAACATTTGCAGATCACATGATTGTCTACTGAGAAAACCCCAAAGAATCTACCAAAAAAATTTCTCTTATAACTAATAAGTAAGTTCAGAAAGATTGCAGGATACAAGATCAATACACAATAATCGCTGCACAATAATGTGAATATAATTACACTACTGAACTGTACACTTAAATGTGGTTAACATGGTAAATTTTATGTTATGTGCATTTTACCACAATTTTTGTTTAAAAAAAGAACAAATGACAACTTCTAGGAACTGGCATCAGATTATGAAGTTACATTCTGTGCTTGAAAATAACTAAAGGTATAAATAAGTCAAGAAAGCCCAAAACAACAATCACATTTATATATGTTAACAATAAACAAGCAGAACCAAAAATTTAAAACATAATACCACATACAATTGCTCTAAAGAAAATGAAATATTTAAGTACAAACCTAGAAATATATATACAGGAACCGAATGCTGAAAATCACAAAAGAAATGGAGAGACATACCATGTTCATGGATGGGAAAGTCAACATATTAATATGTTAATTCTTCACAAATTAATCTATAGATTTAATGCAGTTTCCAGCAAGGTATTTGTAGATACAAACAAGCTTACTCTAAAATGTATGTGGAAGGCACAGGCCCTAGATAGCTAAAATAATCTTGACTAAAAGGAATACAGTGGGAGGACTTACTGTACCTGACATTAAGGCTTACTATATAGCTGCAGTAATCAAGAGAGTGGTTTTGATGGAGGAAATGAACCGTTGATAATGCAACAACTTGGATGAATCTCCTGGGAATTATGTGGAGGGAAAAACGCCAGTTCCTAAAGAAGATAAGTAAATAGGGACACACACTCACAAACATTTTTGAAATGACAAAATTCTAGAAACGGAGGACAGATTATTGTTTTTCAGGGGTTAGGGACAAGGTTTGGAGGGAGAAGAGGTAAGAGAGAGATGGGTATGATATAAAAGAGATCCTTGTGATAAATGAAACTCTTCAGCATCTTGACTGATAGTGGATACACGAACCTACGCACGTGATAAAATTGTATAGAACTTAATACACACACACCTGAGTACAAGTGAAATGGGGGATATTTGAAATTCAAACTGTCAGTTGTATCCATGTCAGTACCGTGCTTATGATATTATACTATAGTTTAGAAAAATGTTACCATTGGGGGAAAACTGGGCAAAGTGTTCAAGGGATCTGTTGTATTACTTCTTACAACTGCGTGTGAATCTATAATTATCGATACAATTTCAATTTTTAAAAACTATGCAAAAGATTTGAACAGATATTTCACAAATAAAAAGATGAAGAAAGACCAATAAGCACATGAAGAGACTCTCAGCATCATTACTTCTCTGGAAATGTAAATTAAAGTCATGAAATACCACTATATACCCATTAAAATACCTAATATTAAAAAACAAAAGCAGGAAATACCAACTGTTGGCAAGTGTGTGTATTAAGTGGTAGAAATTCGTGGTGGGAATGTAAATTGGTAGAACTTTTGGGGCAAGTCATTTGGAAGTTTCTCATGTACATACTTTCTTGAGTATAAACATATACTTAACATATGACCTACAGTCGTATTCTGGGATATAAGTTAAGAGAAATGGAAATATATATCTACATAAATCCTTGTACACAGATGTTTATAGCGTCTTTATTCATAATCGCCCCAAACTGGAAACAACGCAAATTTCCTCAATAGATAAACAGAAAAACAAATTTTGATAATTCCATACAGTAAAATACTACTCAGCAGTAAACAGAAATAAACTATTGACATGCAGCTAGATGTCATAGAAGAACTATGTCATACTAGATAAGGCTATGTTATCCTAAATAAGACCTAATTCACCCTACATAAGACCTGATAAAGCCTAAATGAATTATCATAGGCTCATATCACTCTGGATCAGTTTCTCAACCTTGTCAATATTGACATGTTGGGTTAGAGAATTCTTTGATTCCTTGTTGTTGGGGACCCTGTCCTGTGCAGCACCCCTGGCCTCTGCCCTCTAGATGCCAGTAGCACCCCTCTCCCCCAAGGGGCAAAATCACACCCAATTGAGAATGTCTGCCCTAAATTAAGGCCTAAATTACTAGAAAGGCTGATATCACACTAAAATCTCCGTTACCCTAGATTGGTGGTTCACAGACTGGAACCTGCATCACAATGTCCTGGGGAGCTTGTGAAAACACAGATTGCTGCCACCTCCCATTTCTGATTTGCATTTCGAATGCATTCCCAGGTGATGCTTATGCTGCTGCTCAGAGGACCACACTTTGAGAACCACTGCCCTAGACAATCACTAAGTTACCCAGGTGGTGCTAACGCTGTGTGCTGCATCCCTGCCTCACCAGGGAAAGAGCAGTGAAACCAGCCAGAAAGGTATTCGAGGGGGTGGAGGGTGTCTCAGGGAGCAGGGGCTCCAGAGAAGACCGATTTCCTAGTGCCCTCCCTCCCTCCTCACACCCCACACCACCTCACTTCCTTCTTTGCTGTGAAGAGGTAAAGAAGTTTTTTACCCTCCCTGCCTGTCTACAGAAATCTCTCTACAAAACCTCCAACCCAGATATACAGGAGTTTTAATGTGGTCGGAAATCCCTAACATTAGCATTATCAAATGCACATATTAAGTCCCAGTTGGTGGGGAAAAACAGAAAAACCACTTTAATGGGTGGAGGATTTCATGGAAATTCTTCTTAATTGAATATCCCCACCCCAAAAGAATAAGACTCAAAATTAAGAGATTTTGTTATTACTTCATTTGTTATTATTATTAATTTAAGACATAACCATGAGTTTACTATTAAAATAAAATCTCAATTGTCTGTCCCTTTCACAGAAATCTCTCAAAATAAAATACTTTCTGACAGATAAGACATTAAACAGATTTAAGCTATTAGTATTTTTATTAAGATAAAAACAGGAATTTTTTATAGAAAAAATGTAAAAGCAAGTGAACTAGTTATTATGCTCATAGAAATACCTCGACATAAAATACGTGCGTGGAAACAAGGGCATTTTTCAGTCCTCGGGCATAAGAACAGGTGAGTCTCAGGCAGGGCTGCTGTCTCCAGCTCCGGTTCTTTGAGGATGGAAAAGCGAAAGAACAGAAGACAATCAGCTTAGAGAAACACTTCATGAATTCTCATGCCTGAAATTAGAAAACCTCAGCTTCACTCTGGAAGTTATTACTTTATTGAAAAGGATTACTTTAGATATTAATTAGCAAATGTGCTGCTGCAATCAACTTTAAAAGACAAAGACAAAATTGTATTGGTGATAGAATATGTCCAATTACAAATTTGGTGAATGGAGAGAATATTCAGTTATTCAGTTCCTCACAGACTTTTTTAAATTAAGTATCTTAAAGTTTTTGGTAGAAATCGCATTGCCCTTCACAGCCACAGACATCAAAGAAGCTCTGCCCTAGTATGTATTTTTCATATAATTGTGGCTCTTCTCAAAGAATTTGCACTACTTTAGAAAGGTTTGTATTTGTCATCCAAAGATGATTGGCCTAGTTTTCTGCCTATTTAGTTAAAGAAATTACCACCAAGTAATGGCTCCTTAACAAAAATTATCTTAAAATCAAAGGAAGGCACGTCCAGAGTCAGAGAGGAAGCAATCCACATGCGTGCACAGTACTGTGTATTCGTTCACAAAATGATTATAGGACACACATTATGGTGTGTTTGTTCTGTATTTGCGTTATGTGGAGGCTTACATACCCAAGTTCAGTTATGCCACATTCACAGAGAAACGAATCGACACTGCGTGCATACTTACCACGTACAAGTTTTCTTTGAAGTTGCACAGAGAAATAAACTTAACACTACTGTGACCAGATCTCTCTGCCTGAGTTTCAGAGATTTATTTCTTTTTCTTTCAAATTACATCAAATATCACGTGATCCTTGAGTGGTCCTTCCAGCCCCTACGTGAGGGTTTGGTGGTCACAGCCTCTTCGGTGGCAGCCCTTTCCCCTTGGGAACTCTAAAGGAATAATGCCGCTTGCTGTTGAGGTGTCGGACCATTTGCTTCTGACGATCATCTGATGGTTCAGGAAATACCAGTTCATCTCCATCTATATGTATTTTAAAACAAACAAAACTATGGCATTCTTTAAACTCTTAAAATGCCTCCCATCCAGTAATCTCACGTTTTCTTACATTAATCTCACAGTTGTTAATGAACTGCACAAATATCATACTGCTCTGATTTGTAAAAGTTAAAAGTGAATATGGCAAATTTATCAAGAATATAAACAGAGCATTAATGAACAGAATTTAATGTTCAATTTAAGCAATACTTAAAAATAAACCTATTGTGAGTTGTACCTAGAAGACATCATTTCACTGGAGGGAGAGAGTAATTGCCTTGGTGTCTGTGCTCTTTGATTTGCCCTTTCGTTCCTATGCTACCAGTTTTCTCCTGCCAGATTTTTGTGGCTTAAGGGCATTAAAATATTCTGTTATGCTACAGGGTAAAGCATTAAGGGCAAGTCTTTCTGTAAATGAAAACAATTACGATTATTGTAACAGAGCAGAGCATGTCTGAGGCCCACAGCAAGAGGAGGAGGGCAGGGGTGGGGTGAGGTGGTCCCAACTCCCCTCCAGCAGGTAAGAGTCAGTCTCTCCTCACTGCCCCTTCTGATTTTAGGGGAGGAGGCAACTTTTCTTTAGTGGGACCTTCAAGAGTGCGGGGCCCACTCTGTTTTAGTTCTTAATATCTAGAAGTAAACAGAACTGTCACCCAGAAACTCTCAAAACTGTCTTAGACTCCAAAAAGAAAACAAGACAGCTTGTTATGGGTTAAATTGTGTCCTCCCCAAAAGATGCTGAAGTCCTAAGCCCCAGTACCTGTGAATGTGACCTTATTTGGAAATAGGATCTTTGCAGATGACCAAGTTAAGATGAGGTCGTTGGGGTGGGCCCTAATCCAATATGAATGTGTCCTTATAAAAAGTGGAAATTTGGGGGGCCGGCCCGGTGGCGCAAGTGGTTAAGTGCACGCGCTCAGCTGCGGTGGCCCGGGTTCCCAGTTCGGATCCCTGGCGTGCACCGACGCACTGCTTGGCAAGCCGTGCTGTGGCGGCATCCCATATAAAGTAGAGGAAGATGGGCATGGATGTTAGCCCAGGGCCGGTCTTCCTCAGCAGAAAAAGAGGAGGATTGGCAGATGTTAGCACAGGGATGATCTCCTCACAAAAAAAAAAAAAAAAAGGTGGGGGGAATTTGGACAGAAACATGCACACAGGAAGAATGCCATGTGATGATGAAGGCAGAAATCAGGGGTGGTTTGTCTAGAAGCCAAGGAACTCACAGATTGCTGGCAAATTGCCAGAATTTAGGAGCAAGCCTGGAACAGGTTCTCGCACAGCCCTCAAAAGGAAAAAACCCTGCTGACACCTTCATCTCGGACTTCCGGCCTCCAGGTGTGGTACTTTGTTATGGCAGCCCTAGCAAACTAATGCTCAGCTACACTAGGTATTCCATCCCCTTAATAAAATAAGAAAGAAAGATGTGAATCCATGTGGCTTTTTTCATACTCCTAATCTGCTAGAGTCTAAAAATGTAGGTGAGAGAAGTTGAAGTAAGGCTGTGGGGGTGGGCTACATTCTGCTTTCAGTGCTCGCAGTGCAGCCTGGTACACTTCTAGACCCACAGCCTATTGGGAAGGGAATGCGTTTTCACAGTGAGCCTTATAAATGGTGATTTGTGCTTACAGCTGCTTGTGCCCTACCATGCCTAGATCAGTCCTGCCGAAAAATAACTGGAGTATGCCAGAAGGAAATGTTTTTATCTATACAGCTATGCAAGGATGAAGGAGAACTACTTTTTGCCATGAGTGCATCGAGCCACTGTGAGTAAAGAAGGCAGATGTCAAGGTCAGATCCTCTCTATTCACTAACTCTGTGACCTTGGGCAGTCAGCTAGAGACATGGTTTCTTAGAAGTAGTTCTACTAAAAAGAAGTCATTTCTTACTTGTCATCTTATTTTTGAAATATATTAATCTAATTGTCTCCAAAAGTATAATATTTAGGGATCCTTCACTATTCAAGGGTCGAACCTAAAATAATAAAAAGCAAGATTACCATTTCAACAAATACTTTTAAAAATTAAGTTATAAGGCTATTTGCTTATATATAAAGCATTAATTATTAAGATATTCTATTTAAACTCCCCCCTCAAAATGCTACAGTCTCCCCCCCCAAAAAACTAGAAAAATATCAAAGGGAATGGATGGTGTTAGAAATTTATATCAGTAAAATTTCAGAAACATGAATATCATAGGTTAAAAAAATCTGAAATTACTAACTTACGTAGAAATATATTTAATTTTTAAATTAACTTTTAAAAGCCATTAGTAATTAAAATATTACCCTGAGAAGACTCATCTGCTTGTGAATTCATTTTATCTAACAGTAAATGTAACTGGTTCACATTTTGAATGCTGGAAAAGTGTATTTTAATGTTTTATGTAGTAGGGTGGTCTTTACAGAAGCTGTGCCCACTGCCGATATTGTTTAAAGTAGGGCAAAATCTCACATGTAATTGTGACTACTCCTTTCATCCTTTTCCTACATAAACTCCTTTTTGATGGCTCATGCTATATATACTTTACATATCCCAAAACTTAATTATTCTTAAATCTTCAGTGGTCTTCTCTTAACAAAATGGCAGTTTTTTACTTTTATAGTTTTATCTATGTTTTAAATTATTTGTAGTAGAGATACAAAGTTTTTATTTTACTGAGAATCTGTGAAATCCTCATTGAGAATCTTAAACACAACTTTGGTTACATTTTCTTTTTTTTTTTAGCCTGTAAAATTTTCCTTCACTGGAAGCAAAATTATACTAAGTGAAAATTAGTAATAAATAAAAGTAACCAAATTGAATATGGGAAGTAACATCTATACTGTATGACATAAATAAATAACTATATCATATCATTTATATAAATAAATAGTACATTTATTTATATCATGACAATTCTACTTTATAGAATGCAACTAAATATCACAAAATAGCTCCTATTCCAGTAATAAAATTAACCAGTTTGGTTTTTTTTTTTACTCTTAGTTAAGCCTCCAAATTAGCAAGTACACATTAGCAATTACAGTAAATGCACAATTGAATATTCGTGTTTCCATTTTCAGCCAGTAATTCATTAGTCACATCATCTCAATGTCAGATCACCTTCTTGAGGGGGACAGTCTGGATCCATTCCATGGAGTTCACGTCAAAGATGTCCACTGCATTTTCACTGTACACTGAGAGATATGGGGCATTGTAACCTGGGAGAAGGGCAGGAGGTGACAGCAAGTGTGTCTTCATTATTCATTTTTTAATTGGAATTTTTATTAGGATAATTATAGATTCACATGCAGTTGTTAGAAATAATACAGAAAGATCTTTTGTACCCTCTGCCCAGTTTTCCCCAAAGTAGCATTTTTCAAAACTAAGATACTGACATTGATAGAGTTGACCTACCCATCTTAGGCAGATTTCCCCAGTTTTGCTAGCACTCTTGTGTGTGTGAAGGTCTGTACAATTTTATCAGCTGTGTGGGTTCATGTATCCACCACCACAGTTAAGATACAGAATAGTTCCAACACTACAGGATCCCTCAGGGTGCGCTTTTATAATCCCAACCCCACCTTCCAGCCTCCCCCTCCTTCCCTAGCCCCTGAATATCAGTAATCTGTCCTCCATTTCTAAAATTTTGTCACTTCAAAAATGTTAGAGAAATGAGATCATACAGTATTCATGGTTAATTATATCTGCTAAGCCCAAATACATTTTTTTTAAGAAACATCAGATTGGAAACCTAAGGGAATCCTATTGTAATATTTTTATTATCATATAGTAGCTGCCTCAAAATATTTTTTTAAATGGACAGGGTTTAAGTAAAAACAATAAATAAGTGATGCACGTGGGTCAAATTATAGAGTGCAACACACATAGTAAAAGTCTGGCAAAAAGCTGTCTAACACTCTCATCCAACAGCAACTTTATTAAGTAACTTCATAACATTTCAAAATCTGTGACTCCTAAACTAGTTCAGCTCACAAGAGTATAATATAAGGTTAGAAAAGTATATGTGGAGAGTGAAATTAATGAAGAAAGCATTAAAAACTTCCAGCTAGTAAGAGTTTTAGGGGCCGGCCCCGTGGCTTAGCAGTTAAGTGCACGCGCTCCGCTACTGGCGGCCCGGGGTTTGGATCCCGGGCGCGCACCGACGAACCGCTTCTCCGGCCATGCTGAGGCCGTGTCCCACATACAGCAACTAGAAGGATGTGCAACTATGACATACAACTATCCACTGGGGCGTTGGGGGAAAAAAAAAAAAAACGAGGAGGATTGGCAATAGATGTTAGCTCAGAGCTGGTCTTCCTCAGCAAAAAGAGGAGGATTAGCATGGATGTTAGCTCAGGGCTGATCTTCCTCACCAAAAAAGAAAAAAAAAAAAAAGAATATATTCAAGGTAAATTATCCTGTGAATCTAGTAAAAATTAAAGGCTAAGTTATTTCAAATGTATTACTTAGATATAACTTAATTAGGGCTATTCTACTTAAAAAGACAAATTAGGAAAAATCTTCAGTGATGTTTTAAAAAATAAAACCTGTCATTAACAATATTTGGACATAGTATATAGAGTTGTAATAAAAAGGCAGGAAATATAGAGTTGTAATAAAAAGGCGGGAAAGATACGGAAAGGGAACAAATTGTAAGATAGCCTTACGGCAAAAAGTTGGAGTTGCTGGCCACATCAGTTCAACTGGCCTGGATCTGAGGCCCCTGCTGTCAGTGTAAATTCCAATGCTCTTAAAACATAACAGATATTCAATACTGGAGATCTCAATTGCACAGAGAGCATCCACCGGTTGATGTACAATAAATGACAGTGTAGGGTCATGTGTGTGGAGCATCCTGTATGGGATTCCTTCTCTCCTCAAGGGGTATCTCAGGAATCCTGACTGGAATCCTACACAAAGCTGTTCGCTGAAGATAGCCATCCACTGGACATTGGTTGGGATTTGGAGCTCTTTAAATTTTCTGTGAGAAATTTTCTTGCTCTGAAACAGCTCATAACAGAAGACATGGCTTTTCCTAGCTACGCAGAGGCATGTATGGGCCCCTTGGCACACTGTTCCAGAAGTCATGGTCTGGCACCCTTTGGTTTCTGCCAGCTTGTGAACATCAGTCTTTCGTCCATCGAAAGCTGACATAGGAAACAGTTGCACTTGGTGACTTCGCCCTGAGATCACTGCAACCATCTGGCCATGAGGGATAAGCTCAATCTGATGAATCTTCTTCATGTCACCAACTCGAATAATTTCTGCACAAATAAACATAATTGTAAGTCATTGCAAATTCAAAATAATTTCTATTTATTTATTTCAACTGTTCTCCCAATTTTACCCAAAAGCAATTAAGAAAGGTCCCAATAAAAATGACCTGATAAATCTTAATGTCATTAACTTGAGTAATTTTTCTACAAATAAAATGGCAAGTTATCTTCAAATTAGCAATGTTTTCTAATTTATTTTTATTGAGGGATAAGTGACATATAACATTATATTAGTTTCAAGTATACAACATAATGATTCAATATTTGTATAAATGACCACCGCAGTAAGTCTAGTTAACATCATCACCATACATAGTTATAAACCTTTTTTTCTTGTGATGAGAACTTTTAAGATCTACTCCCTTAGCAACTTTTATGTATGCAATACAGTGCTATTAACTATAGTTGCCATGCTGTACATTACATCCCCATGACTTATTTATTTTATGACTGGAAGATTGTACCTTTTGACCCCCTTCACCCATTTCACGCACCCTCCAACCTCCCCCCACTGGCAACCACCAATCTATTCTCTGTGTCTATGAGCTTTTTCTTTTTTTTTTTTTTGGGATTCCACATATAAGTGAGATTATATGGTATTTGCCTTTCTCTGACATATTTCCCTTAGCAGAATGCCCTAAAGGACCATCCATGTTGTTGCAAATGGCAAGATTTCCTTCATTTTTATTGCTGAATAATATTCCATTGTGTGTGATGGAATATGTATATCATATCTTCTTTATCCATTCATCCATCAGTGGATGTTTCCATATTTTGGCTATTGTAAATAATGCTGCAATGAACATGGTGGTGCATATATCTTTTCAAGTTAATGTTTTTGTTTCCTTCTGATAAATACCATGAAGTAGAATTGCTAGATCATATGGTAGTTCTATTTTTAATTTTTTGAGGAACCTCCATATTGTTTTCCATAGTGGCTGCACCAATTTACATTCCCACCAACAGTGCACAAGGGTTCCCTTTTCTCCACATCCTCACCAACACTTATTATTTCTTGTCTTTTTGATAATAGCTATTCTAACAGCCACAATATCTCATTGTGGTTTTGATTTGTATTTCTCTGATGATTAGTGATGTTGAACACCTTTTCATGTACCTGTTGGCCATCTGTATGTCTTCTTTATAAAAACATCTATTCAGATCCTCCTCCCATTTTTTAATTGGATTGTTTGTTCTTTTTGCTACTGAGTTGTATGAGTTGTTTATATATTTTGGATAATAATTCGTTATCAGATACATGATTTGCAAGTATGTTCTCCTATTCAGTAGGTTGCCGTTTCATTTTTTGATGGTTTCCTTTGCTATGCAGAAGAATGTTTTCTTCTTTTTAAACTCTCTCCAAATCATTACTCCTACGAATTTAAGTCAGATTCTAATAAAATCACAGACATAAACTCACAGGGTAGGTTTCAGAAGGATAAAAAAGGATAAAAAGAGAAGGATAAGAGATAAAAAATCATGCAGGTAAAAAAAAGTAATTTTTCCAGAGATGATATAATTACCTTAACAAAATTAGCATAATAAAGCACTAAACTTAGCCTTGAGATTCTAGGCAGTGAGGAAACACCTCCCAATGTCTGACAAATGGAAACACACTACTTCTTTAGGGGAAGAAAAATGTCCTTTTTTTCTGGCACTAAATTGATTCCTTTATTACACAAATAGTTTTTGAGTGACTATTACGTGCCAGGTGCTGTTCTAAGTGTGTGGGGTACAGCACCAAACAAAAAGAGACCTACCAAGTCCCTGCCCTTGTAATGGACACCTGGTGCACCTTTCATGGGCCTCCTCACCAGGACTGAGTCACCCACACTGCAGGGGAGGCATAGCTAATGTCCTTCAGATGCAGGTTCTCCTTTATCTAATCTATCATTAGGGTGCAAGACATTCAAGAGGACAACTATATTAGAATGGCTCCTCTGCATTTCATCTAGTCCCCCATTTCTCCCTCAAAAACCGTGAGAGCAAAAACAAAGAACTCGGCACTCTTATCCGGGAAATATCCAATTTTATGTTGTTATTCTTGGTGGTGCCAATGTAATAGTGGAGGGGAGGGGAACCAAGAACTGTGTTTTCTTTCATGCACCAACTTGAAGATGGTAAGCTAAGTTCTTACAGTGGTCCTATTAGGTAAAATCACCTGTGAAGATACTTAGACTCTAAGGGATTATGGATTTCTGGAAATTAGAAAAGTCATCATTTGACTTGAAAACACATCAAATCAGGCGTGGAAGATTTCTTTTACAGAAAAAAAGAGAACAAATCCATATTATTATCCTTAGAGTTTGAAGTTATTCCAAAACAGAAAAGACTCTCCTTACCATCCATGGTAACGTGCACAACAAATAACCCTTCTTCATTTCCCAGAGCGATTCTTTTATGATCTATATTTGACACATAAATAAAAATATCAAGGAGTTGTTTTTGTGAACATTAAGTAAAGCTAATAGGATTAACTGGACAAATGTATCAATATTGAAAAAGTTTAAAAGGCAAATTAAATACATATTTAGCATATATCAAAATGAAAAGAAACATAAGAATAATTAATTTGCACTATTCTTCTTTCAAATTACAGAAGAAAACATAATAAAACATGACTTTTCTTAATAGGAAGATCATTATAAAGTAATGGTTATAAATACTTGAAGAAAGTTTGATATTCAAGTAATGATATACTTTCAAATTTGCTATAAGTAAGTGATTCATGAATGAAAAAATTTTATAATTTAATTTGTCAGTGATCTTGGCTTTGTGGGGGAGATAGTTTTAGCAAGAACTAAAACTCAAAGTGCACCGATAGCACTTATTGAGTGAAGACCTTAAATGCAAAGCACAAAACTGTACATAATTGGCTCATTTAATCCTCTTCATAACTGAAAAATGGGAATTATCTGTGTTTAACTCATGAGCACATTAATGCTCAAAGAAATTTAATAACTAGCTCCATGTTACACAGCAGTAAATAACTAAGTGGCTCTTATTGTCACCCCCATCTAATGCAAAAGTAATGACCTTTGGGAAACATGTATTCTTGTTTACTGACAAAAGTTTGAATATTGATCTTAGCAATTCATTCATTGATTCACTTATTTTTCATTTATTTATTAAGTGTTGGGTGTTGGGAATACAGATTTGAAAGACAATCTCTGCTCCCAAGGTAGGTAGTCCACCTACCTGCACAGGGCCACATCCCTCATGTGACACCCTTGGGGCCAGATGTATTTGGGAACTCTGAATTTTTCAGACTTGATAAAGGTATTACTGTGTATTAAAGAAACACCTTATTATGCAGGGCCTGGGGAACCATCATGTAATCAAATATATTAATATTTTTGCAGAGAATCCTATAAGTAGTCATACCAGGGGTTGGGGAGGGAAGGACTCCGCAATAGTCTCATTCAGTAGGTTTGCTGACAAATGAGTTGTGAATCTAGTTAAGATTTTCACATTTCGATTTGGGGATTGTGGTGAGGGGTATGAACCTAGTGGGATAAAGCTGTAAATCCATACCTATGATTACAGCTGTCTGGGTGGTTTTGATCAGGGGTAGACTGCTGTCATAAGCCTCTTTCAGAACGTAGACTGTGCGGTCTCTGGAATGACGTTTTCCCAGTAACTTGTGCAATTCACTCAGCACTCTCATCCACTCACTCTTCTCATTCTCGCTATCTGCTAATATTGGGATTGAATATCTATTACTAGGTGCTGAGAGCTGGGAAGCTGTGACCTAGAACGATTTAAGGAATATCTAGGTTATAAGAAAGCAGACACGCTTATGCCAGCCTGTTGAGCATTTTTCATTAAACTCACCGTTGACAAATGACACCTGTAATATTATTACCCTCTTCTTGGTTAGTAGAATAAATGACGTGAGCCTTGGAACCCAAGCCAAAAGGAACATGTCAGAATCACTTCTGTATTGAGCCTCGTGAAAATATGGGCGTACTCTGACTAAATAATATATTGTACTTCATCAAATGAAAATAGTTACCATTTATTCAGTGCTGACTCTGTACCAGGAACTGCCCTAAGAAATTTACATGTGTTAATTGATTTAATCCTCACAGAAACCTCAGCAGGTAGATACTACTACTCTTTCCACTTTACAGGTGAGAAGACAGGGGCACGGTGGGGTAGGGCGCAGGCAGTTTGGTGCCAGAATCCCCAGTCTGAGCCTCTTCTCAATGAAGAAATTGATAAAAAAAATTTGCACCTTTTGATATCTCTGAAACGGAATTGTGTCTTGCAATTGCAGTCATCATAATCAGTTGTGATATTATGCAGTGCTCAGAGGTTTTTTGTCGTTGTTAAGCTAGAAATATTCAGAAATACTTCTGCTTTCCTGGCTGCTATGTGCAAAGCTTATATCGTTACTAGTAAATAGCAAATCAAATTTAAATTTAAAAATATATAATTAGGCTGGCAAACTCTAAATTTATATATCATCAGTTAAGCAGCAATGACATAATAAATTCCCACTCTGTAGTTCAGTTCTAAATGGCCAGGTAGTTGTAGGGTCTCTTGGTGGTTCAGTAGAGTCTAAATAGATTTATATCCTTGGGCTAAGGAACTAAGAATACTTCTGTCTGGCCTTCGTTAAATGTAAGATTCACAGGTTGATTGTAACCACATGGGTCAGCAGGGGACAGCACTCCTTTGCTTTCTCTGTCATTTTATTTAACCCATTCCGGAATCACTTTAATTTTTTAAATGAATTTTAAAGAGCAGAGTGTCTATTTTTTAAGAGATTGCAAAACTACATACTTCCCCAATTTTTCCATGTGGTACACTTGCTTTGAATTTGAATTATAACTTCGAAATGTTGCCTCAGAGGAAACTTATTTTCCAAAGTGCCTCTAGTTCTAGAAGCCCCACATTCATGCTGCTGCAGGTCCATGATGACTCGCCAGACGTGTACATCTGACCTTGAAGTATGTCATCCCTCTTTCTCTGTCACTGTTTGTTCCCTTTTCTTTCATCCCCCGAAATACCATGCTGCTGTGTAAGCTTCTCCTGTGTTCAGCTATAAATCTGACGTATGTCCTGTTATCTTAGTGTAGAATGAATGGACACCCTCAGGAACATTTGCATTTTAAGTCTTAGATTTAACTGTAGGATGAAAAAAGCTATTTATAGTATTTTTGAGTAAGAATAGGGGGATAGATGTATTGTGGCAAGTAGGAAGAAAGGGAAATGATCTTGAGCATTTCTGAAATCCCAACCTTCAGTGACCTTCAGCAACCCGAGGAGCCTTGACCCATAAAGACAGGCAAGACAGGGATGAAACAAAACATAATCAAGGGATCCGAGGGCAGCATGCACACTTACTTTAAACATATGGACCGTTTCCTTTTTCTTTCCTGGAATAAAATCAGAGGACCAGACGGAACTCACAGAAAATGCTCTATCCCTGCAGGAAAAGCAAGACACTGAACGTGAGTAGAATCACCTGAAAGTGAGTAAAACAACACATAAACATAATCCTCAATTTTAATTTCATTGACTTGTAACACTATTTTCTGTAGTAACCGATAGTGATCAAAGTAATGCATCAGCAGTAACCGGCCAGCAGCATGTTATCAGAAAACCCAAGTTAGCTCTGGGCTGTCCCTACTTCAGAGAGTCTGCACAGATCTGGGATCCAAACACCTGTCTGACCCAACAGCCACGGCCCCTAGAATAAGGCCCTGCCATTCTAGTTTTCATTTTCTAGCATAAATGGAAACATACAATATGTATTCATTTTGTCTAGTTTCTTTTTCTCAGCATAATTATTTTGAGATTCACTCCTGTTGTTGCATGGATGAATACTTCATTTCTTTTTATTGATGAGTAGTATTCCGTTGTATGGATATACCACAATGTATCCATTCACCCATTAATGGACATTTGGGTTGTTTCAAGTTTGGGGCTATTTTAAATAAAACTGCTATGAATATTCATGTATGTCTTTTATGGACATATGATTTCTCTTGGGGAAATACCTAGGAGTAGAATCACTACATCATATAGTAGGTGTGTGTTTAACTTTTTAAGAAACTGCCAAACTCTTTTCCAAAGTGGTTATATGATTTACAAAGCAATGCACGAGAGTTCTAGGTTCTCCACGTCCTCCCAACACTTGAAATGGTCAGTCTTTTTAGTTTTAGCCTTTCTTACAAAAGCAGAAGTGATAGTGGTATCTCATGGTTGTTTTATTTGAATTTCCCTAATAATTGGTGTCTCATGGTTGTTTTATTTGAATTTCCCTAATAATTAATGATGTTGAGCATGTGTTCGTGTGCTTATTTGTCATATGTGTATCTTCTTTGTTGAAGTATCTTTTCAAAACCTTTGCCCATTTTTAAAAAAAGTGAGCTGTTTATTTTCTTATTATTGAGTTTTAAGAATTCTTTATACATTCTGGATATAAGTCCTTTGTCAGATATTTTATTTGCCCTCACTCTGCAGCTTCTGTGACTTCTTTTAACAGTGTATTTCAAGGAGCAGAAGTTTTAAGTTTTTATGAAGTCCAATTTATCAATTGTTTCTTCTATGTGCTGTGCTTTGGCGTTGTATCTAAGAATTCTTTGCCTTATCCAAGATCAGAAAGGTTTTCTCTATGTTTACTTCTAGGTATTTTATAGTTTTAGGTTTTACATTTAGTTCTATGACCTATTTTGAGTTAATTTTTGTATATGGTAAAAAGTATAGGTCAAAGTTGATTTTTTGCATATGGATATCTCCCATTCAAAGCTTACCTCATGTCAATCACTTGACTCACTACAACATTGGGCTTTGAGTCTTCTTCTTCATCCATATCGTACAGGAAGAGTTTGAAGTCACAAACTATAGCCAGTGCTCTCTGCCATCCTTTTTCCACTCCTGTTTGTTTGGGAATCTTTAGTTTTGATTTTTTTAAAAGCAAATAAAAACAGTCCAAGCTGAAATGTCAAATACTACCCAATTATTACATATAAAGTTAAAATAATAAAAAAATTGTTATAAATCTGTAATTTTTCTTGTTAAAGATATGAAACAGAATTGTATAACATAAATGAGATTTTAAAAACAAGGCAATTCCTTTGAGGACTGAATGACTCTTGTGTTGTGAAAATAAAGTTGATACCATTTCAGTTAACACTAGCAATTTATTTAAATAACAGTCACAGCTTTGTATCTAGGTAACGTTAAATTCAGATTTATAACACCATGCCTCAAATTCAACTCAGATTTTAAATATTTCTCAAGAAGATTATTTGCAATAATTTATTATTGCTGCCTGGAAGTCAAAGTTACATCATTAGTAGGGATTTCAGCATTTGTTAATCACAAGATAAGGTTTAAGCAGGAAACTTGGGGACATTTAAAAATATCCTATTGGGGACAACTAAATTTTGTTCTGAAATCATCTTCTTAGGATGGAACAAATATTTTCAACTGCATATAGTTTATATTGTATAATATATTATAAATATTATGTATGTTTCTGACAAACCTTGTGCTCACAGAGTGAAAGGTGATAAATAAACATCTTAAGAGTTTATCTAAATCCAAAATATTGACACTTACCCAGACATGGCCTTCATAGGCTGTTCCCATGCCTTCCTGTGAGTCTAGACAGAGGGCACCTTTCTTCTGTTGAAAAGGCACTGGACAAACTCTTGGAGCTTTCTCTACACAGGCTGTGTGACATGAGAACCCACATGCTTTTTGAAGGAAATAAAGAGATGATGATTGTGGTGGACACAATGGTTTTACTCCCTCGCTCTCCGTTACAACTCTGTCTACTCTTGTAGAGGTTGAAATGCTATAAACTACATTTCCCAGGCTCCCTTGCAACTAAATTTTGGACCTGATTTAACTTCCACAAAAAAGATGACTTTCTGTGAGACTAAGCTGAGCCAAGCTGAGAGAGATGCAGGATGCAGAGCATCCATTTTACTGGCATGGATCCTGACAGAAGGAGTGTGAGGTCATAGCTGCAGGGGTGCCTTCTGAATTTTGTAGGAGCTTTCTTAATTCTGCGGGTGATGTCCTGGCTCTGCAGACTCTGCAGCAGCAGGGTCTTTCCTGATCCTGGCAGAAGTAGCAGGTTCTGGGGGCTGCAGCAGTAGTGGCAGCTTCTTGATTTGTCATCTTCTTGTGACACTGATGGCAACTGTCCCAGGATCAGCAGTGGCCAAGCTATGCTGGGGGCAAGAGATGTTCCTGGGAGCTCAGCTCAGAGCCTGCCTCTGCAGCCCTAGAAGAGTTTTATAGGCACCTAATTCCCCATTTGAAATCTCATTTTGTGTAATGTGCTAGGATGTGTTGACGGTTAAGGTGGCTCTGACTGTCCTTGTGCTGAGGGCAGGAAAGTTGTCCTGCTCCGTGCTGTGTCCCTGAGTGAGCACTTGACAGGACTCGCTGAGGAAACCAAGTACAGAGCCTGTTCCCTAGGATGAGGAATGAGATGTCTGTGCAGCACAGTAATCCACTGTTTGAAATTTCCAAAAATATATTGCTCTCTTTCAACAGTATTTACCATAATAAATTGAATGAGTAAAATAAAACAATTACAATTCAAAGATAGCATTCCATTTTCCTGTCACATAAGCTAGTGAATTTGGTCTTCATACTCTACTAGTGCTATAAAGAACAAAATATATTTAAATACATTTTCTTAATAAATGTGGCCCTGCCTACAGGCTGCACAGCATGACTCCCAGGGGTCAATGTTCATACAGGCTGTGAGGACGTGAGGCCCTTTGGAGTTGCACAGCGCTGAAGTCCCCCCCTAATGTTTCCAATGACCATTGGTCTAATTTCTGATATAAAACAGATTCAGAGAGATTTTTGGTCAAGTGAACAGTTTACTGGCATGCTTCTACAATTCAAAAACAACAAAATTTCTGCTTAATAACTTAGTGCAATGGACTGAATGTAGGTGTCCCCACCAGGTTCCTTTGTTGAAATTCTAATCCCCTATGTGATGTTATCAGGAGGTGGGGCCTTTGGGAGGTGATTAGGTCATGATGGTGGAGCCCTCATGAATGGGATTAGTGCCTTATAGAGGAGCCCCCAGAGAGCTCTCCTCCGCCTCTGCCAAATAGGGCCGCAGTGAGAAGTCCACAGTCTGCAGCCTGGAGGAGGGGCCCATTGAACCCGACCACGCTGGCTTCCTGATCTCGGGCTTCCAGGTGTGTGAACTGTGAGAAGTAAACGTCTGTGTTTAGAAGCCACCCCCTCTAGGTGCTTTGTTATGGCAGCCCGAGTAGACTAAGACACTTGAGTATGAAGATTATGGCTCTGACTCCACTTATCCCTTCCTTAGGTCTTACCATCACAGATGCAGCCTTGTCTTATCAAACCCACCATCAGAGACGTGCACTGGTGACACTTGGTGGGGGCAGTAAAGGATGTGAGGAAAAACCGGTGATTCTTATTCTACAAAACAAAGAGACCAAACCTGCATCAAAGGTTAAATATCTTTGAAAAGGTAATTCTGGTGATTCCTTCAACTCACCCTGCCCAAAATAACATTTCATATACAAAGAAAAGCAGTTCCCCATTTCTCACCAACATTTAAGATTATTGCCCCTTAGTTACTTCATAATTGGAAAATGTTGAGCAAGAGATCCCTGAAATTACCAAGAAGAGGAAGAAGAGGAGGAGGAGGAATTATTTAAGTGGTAATCAAATGTTCATTAATACTATTTAGAACCAAATAAATAAAGCCTGGCCTTTATTTGTGCTGATATATCCTGAACATTTGAAAAGATTATCTAGATTGATAAATTCTTCAAGTGATTCCTTAACAATGGATGGGGTGAGAATCGCCTATGCATACATATTTTTATTGGGGAGGGGTAACAAAAAATAATATGGTTTTTATACCTTCTTTGGAGAGAAAGAATAATTTCAAAATTTTATCTCTATAGCAAATTGCGTGTTTCATTTTCTACTATCAATAGACAATAATCTGCTTCAGGAGTTGCTGAGCTCCCGTGAAGCAGGTCATATTACACCTCCAAGACAGATGGCATCCTGAAATTTCTAATTGAAACCCCAATAACTACAACAGCAGATGTCTTCACAGAATTATCAACAAGTTGGTAATCCACTATGGATTTTCCATTTCTCGATCATGCCTCTCTGCCCCAAAATTATTGTTGTCATAAATTAGCAATACGTAAATTATAACAAAATCGGGTTTCTCCAAATACTAGTTGGCAAATTTTCTCAGCTTCTTCTCTGTTTCCTCATCTGTAAAGTAGACAGACTTACAGTCCCTGCCATGGGCACTGTGTGTGTACAGGAGCTACCTGCTCCTTATTTGGATCTTCAGTTTACTCCCCTGTTTTCAACACTGCACGTCACCCTTGCCTCCTGAGGGACCTGGTGTCTCTAATCCCCGAGTCCTGCTGGGCTTCCCAGATATTGATTGTCTTGTGACTTTTTGGCATGCTCTAAGCACTTGACATTCAGATTTCTCAGCTCTGCTAAGCCCTCACTCAGGCTTTCATCTTCCAGAATTATGTTGACTTATTTACCTACTTTCTTCTCTCTTTAATGGGCTTAGTGGGTTTCATTAAAAAGCAGATATGTATGCATTTTTGAATCTACTATGCTTAACCAAAAGTTCCCAGGAAAAAAGGAAGGAAGGAATGAAGGAAGAAAATAGGAAGGAAGGAGGAAAGAAAAGAAGAAAGGAAGGAGGGAAAGAGCAAGGGCAGGGTTAGAAAGCAGAACCAATTTATTAATAATTTATTAATTATTTTTTAAGGAACCTGCTAAGTTTATAGCTAAGTCAAGTACCTTAGTTGGAAATAGGATTCTACTATGATATTCCTTTCTTTTTATTGTTGGTGTATGAACTGGGAGATGAGCAGAATCTACAATCTGAATCAAGGAAATAAAAATAAATAAAGGCAAGTTACACATATCTCCAAAATTACAAGAATTAAATAATTCCTCAAGTAAGACAAAAGAAGTATACTTAATAGACAAAAACACAGTAAAACTAAAATTCTCTTGGAGTTGAAAATATATTTTAAGTAATTTGAATATATGCTTACAGTTTCTACAAACAAAATACATGTATATTTCATACAATTCATTTCAATTTGGCTATTTTAAAATGTGTGCCATAGCATGTAGACTGCATTAAAAGGAGAATACTAATCATAAATATATTTGAAAAGACTTTTAGTAAATAGATATATGATCAGACTCTTCAAAAGATTCTTTGAGCTACTTGTTTTATAAGTGTAGAAGAGATTTTATGACTGTAAATATGTAGAAATATATTCGAATCAATTACAGAGGGTTCAGCAAGATTTTTTGAGATTATTAATAATCTAAAAATATGCTCAGGTAATTTAGATTACCTTTATGAAATTAGACTTCAACAATCATATAAAATTTAGCTGTCTATATGGTATAAAACTTTTCTTTCCTGGGAACTAGTAGAAAATACTTTTTAAAATGGAAAGAACTGAATGCTAATGGATGTTACTGGGGAATAAAGTTTGATTGTAAGCGAAGATGCTACACAGTTGAACAGAGCATATAAGTATACAGACTTGAAGAGTATTTCTCCTTTCAGAATGGTTAAGTACCACAGAGAAACACACAAAAGAAATTGGTGGTAGGGCCAGCTCAGTGGCGCAAGCAGTTAAGTGCGTGCACTCTGCTTCGGCGGCCTGGGGTTCACAGGTTCGGATCCCGGGCACACACCGACGCACCGCTTGTGAAGCCATGCTGTGGCGGCGTCCCATATAAAGTGAAGGAAGATGGGCATGGATGTTAGCTCAGGGCCAGTCTTCCTCAGCAAAAAAAAAAAAAAAAAAGAGGAGGATTGGCATTGGATGTTAGCTTAGGGCTGATCTTCCTCACACACACACGCAAAAGAAATTGGTGGTAAATGCAGGAGATTCAGGATATTTGCCAAATTTACAAAGATATTAAGCAAAAGTCGATGGCATTTCACTGCATTATTTACTATGCATTCCAATAAATAGACTTTTTCATATGAATTTATAAAAAACAATATAATAAAGATTCCCTCTTAGGAATCTTAGATTACATTTATGGATAACTTAGTCCCAATTTTAGTTTTATTTTATTTAAAAAGAGACTATCTTTAGTCTAAAGAAGAAAAACTACATAATCATATCAATTGATGCAGAAAAAGCACTTGACAAAATTCAACATTCATTAATGATAAAACTCTCAACAGAATAGGAATAGAAGGGACTTCCTTAACCTAATAAAAGGATCTACAAAAAAACAAAGGCAAGCATTACCATTAGTGATGAAAAACTAAATGCTTTCTCCTAAGAATGGAAACAAGGCAAGGATGTCAACTAGCACTTCTATTAAACATCAAACGGAAAGTCCTAGCCAGTGCGCAAAGAAAATAAGAAATAACAGGCATACAGATTAGAAAAGAGGAAATCAAACTGTTCTATTTGCAGGTGACATGATTGTTTGCATAGAAAAGCAATGTCAAAGAAGAAAAATCTTGAACTATTAAGTGAGTTTGGCAAAGTCACATGACACAGGTTAACACAAAAATTAATCATATGTCTATATAATAGCAATAAAAAATTGGAAACTGATTTGTTTTTCTTTTACTAAGACAATTTTTTAGAACAGTTAAAGGTTCACAGCAAAACCGAGATTTCCCATATACCTCCTACCCCCACACATGCATAGCCTCTCCCATTATCAACATCCTCCACCAGTGATACTTCTGTGAGAATTGGTGAACCTACATTGACACATCATAATCATTCAAGTCCATAGTTCACCTTAGTGTTCACTCTTGATGTCGTATATTCTATGTGTTTATACACAAATGTATAAGGACATGTATCCATCATTATGGTATCATACAAAGTATTTCCACTGCCTTAAAAATCCTCTGTGCTCCTCCTATTCATCCCCTCTCCCCTAAATCGTGGCAACCACTGATCTTTTTATTGTTTCTATAGTTCTGCGTTTCCTAGAATGTCATATACCTAGTTGGAATCATACAGAATGTAGCCTTTTCAAATTGGCTTCTTTCACTTAGTAATATTCATTTAAGGTCTCTTCATGGCTTTTCATTGCTTGATATCTCATTTCTAGTGGTGAATAATATTTCATTGTCTGGATGTACCACAGTTTATTTATCCATTCACTGAAGGACATCTTGTTACTTCCAAGTTTTGGCAATTATGAATTAAGCTGCTATAACCATCCATGTGCACAATTGTGTGTGGAGATAAGTTTTCATTTCATTTAGGTAGATACCAAGGAGCATGATTGCAGGACTGAACGATAAGAGTATGCTTAGTTGTGTAAGAAACAGCCAAAGTGTCTGGCATTCCCACCAGCATTCCTGCCAGCAATGAATGAGAGTTCCTGTGGCTTCACATCCTCACCAGCATTTGGTGTTGTCAGTATTTCCGATTTTCGCCATTCTAATAGGTGTGTAGTGGTATCTCACTGTTGTTTTAGTTTACATTTCTCTGATGACATATAATAGGGAAGATCTTTTCATATGCTTATTTGTCACCTGTATGTCTTCTTTGTTGAGATGTCTGTTTAGGTCTTCAGCCAATTTTTTAATCAAGTTGTTTTTTTTTCTTATTGTGGAGTTTTCAGTGTTCTTTGTAAATTTTGGATAACAGTCCTTTATCAGATTTGTCTTTTGCAAATATTTTCTGCCTGTCTGTGGCTTGTCTTCTCATTCTCTTGACATTGTCTTTCACAGAAGGAAAGTTTTTAAGTTTAATGAAGTCTAGCTTACCAATAATTTCTTTTGTGGATCATGCCTTTCATGTTGTATCTAAAAAGTCATTGCCAAACTTAAGGTCATCTAGGGTTTCTCCCATGTTGTCTTCTAGGAGTTTTATAGTTTTGTATTTTGCATTTAGACCTGTGATCCATTTTGAACTAATTTTTGTGAAGGATGTAAGGTCTGTGTCTAGAGTCATTTTTTTTTGCTTGTGGGTGTCCGGTTGTTCAAGCACCATTTGTTGAAGAGACTATCTTTGCTCCATTGCATTGCCTTTGCTCCTTTGTCAAAGATCAATTGACTGTATTTATGTGGGTCCGTTTCTGGGCTTTCTATTCTGTTCTATTGATCTATTTGTCTATTCTTTCACCAATACCACACTGTCTTGATTACTGTAGCTTTACGGTAGATCTTGACATTGGGCAGTATCAGTCCTCCAACTTTGTTTTTCTCCTTCAATATTGTGTTAGCTATTCTGGGTCTTTTGCCTCTCCATATAAATTTTAGAATTAGTTTGGCAATACCCACAAAATAACTTGTTGGGATTTTGATTGGGACTACATTGAATCTATAGCAAACTGATTGTTACATACTATTTACAATAGCTCTAAAATAAATAAAAAATACTTAGGGATAAGTCTAAAAAAACATGCGCAGGATCTGTTGGCTGACAATTACCAAGCACTGATGAATGAAATTAAAGACACCCTAAATAAATGGAACAACGTATTGTGTTCATGAATTGGAAAATGAAGTATACTTAATTTGTTAATTCTCATCAAATTAATCTATATATTTAATGCAATACCAGTCAAAATCCCAGCAAGATTTTTTTGTGGATCTAGACAAGTAGATTCTAAAGCTTACATGGAAGCAAAGAAACTAGAATAGCAAAAAATTTTGAAAAACCTGTAAAAATCTCAGCAAAGAAATAGAAGATACATAGAGGAACCAGTGGAATTTAAGAACTAAAAAAATACAATAATCGAGGACCGGCCCAGTAGCACAGCTGTTAAATTCGCACGTTCCGCTTCAGTGGCTTGGGGTTTGCCGGTTCGGTTCCTAGGCACAGACCTACTCACCGCTCATCAAGCCATGCTGAGGCAGCATCCCACAGAGAAGAACTAGAAGGACCTATGACTAGGATATACACCTATGTACTGGGGGCTTTGGGGAGAAAAAAGAAAAAAGAGGAAGATTGGCAACAGATGTTAGCTCAGGGCCAATCTTCCTCAAACAAAAAAATACAATAATCACTATTAAAATCTCAATGGGTGGCCTAATAGAATAATGGAGAAGACACAGGAAGGAATCCATGAACTTGATGATAGACAATATAAATTGCCCCATATGAACAAGAGAGAGGAAATAGATGAAAAAAATGGGACTATAACAACAAGATCTAACAATACTGTCATCAGAGTCCCAGAAGGAGAGTAGGAAGAAAGTGGGGCTGAAAAAGTGTTGAAAGAAATAATGGCTGAAAATTTCCTAAGTTGGGCAAAAGACAAAGACTCAAGATTCAAGAAGGTGACTGAATTCCAATAGGATAAATCCAAAGAAATAGTTGCCAAGACACATTGTAGTCAAACTTCTGAAAACCAAAGACAAAAAAACAATAATGAAAGCATCCAGAGAGAAACAACACATTAATTAGAAGGGAAATACAACTCAAATGAGGGTAGATTTCTCATCAGAAACCACAGAGGCCAGAAGGAAGTGGCACAACATTTTTCAAGTACTTAAAGAAAAGAGATGTCATCTCAGAGTTCCATAGCCAGGAAAAATATCCTTCAAGAAGTCAGAGGACATCCCTCTATCAGAAACTGACAGATCCAGTAGGCAGAAAATCAGCAAGGACATAGTTGAACTCAAGAGCACCATCAAATAACTGGATCAAATTGACATCTATAGAATACTTCATCCAACAACAGCAGAATACACATTCTTCTAAAGTTCACACATACCGTTCACCAAGATAGACTACATTCCAAGCCATATAACACATCTTACATATTTAAAGAATAGAAATCATACAAAGTATGCTCTCAAACAATGGAATTAAACTAGAAATCAATAACATAAAGATAGTTGGAAAACCCAAACTATATGGAGATTTAAACAAACACTTCTAAATAACACATGGGTCAAAGAAGAAGTATCAAGAGAAATTTTTAAAATATTTCAAACTAGGGGCCGGCCTGGTAGCATAGTGGTTAAGTTTGCACACTCTGCTTTGGTGGCCCGAGGTTCGCAAGTTCGGATCCCGGGCATGGACCTGCATACTGCTCATCAGGCCACGCTGTGGCAGCGTCCCACATATGAAATAGAGGAAGACTGGCACAGATGTTAGCTCAGGGCCAATCTTCCTCACAAAAAAAAAAAAAATTATTAGGGAAATTGTAGACTAGTTAATGAATAGGACTGGGACAACTATCATAGTGGCAAAAATTAGATTCCTACTTCATAGCAAACAAAGGTATAATTTCTTGTTGGTTTAAGGACCTAATTGTGAAAAGAAAAACTTGAAATTTTTTGGAACATTTGGGATAAAAGGATAGAAATAGATTTCTTGTAAAATAATCAAAAAGCCCAAGCAATACAAGAAAAGACTGATGATTTTTACTGTATTAGAATTTAAAAACCTCTGCATGACAAACTGAAAGCGATAATTAGGTACCACTTCATACCCATTAGAATTGTGAATTTCAGATGTCTAGTAGCAGCAAGTGTTGACATGGATATACAGTAATGAGAACTCTTACATGCTGCTAAGTAAGAGTAGAAATTGGTTTTTAAAAACTCCATTGCCCAGGCAGACTGAGAAGAGCATGCACATGGAGGGCAACCTAGGGTTCAGACACAGAGCCCAAGTGGTGTGAGAAGGGACAGGTTAGCTGCAGAGATGGGAGATAGGTCACAGACGGCAGTTACAAATATGGAAAGAGAGAATACTAGAATGAACCCTATGATGTTGGATTGGAATTAGAAGTATTTATGTGAGTATGAACTCATAGTTTTCATAGGTAGGTATGTAGGTAGATAGATGATACATAGAAAGATAGATAGATTTCTATGTATAGACTGATATAGAAATATATTTTTTTTTCTGTAGCTCTGTCCAATAAAAGGGCCTGGAATAGTGACATCCCAATAGCAGTGAGCTCGCCTAACACCTAGATCCAGACTTCTAAATACCATTCTCCACCAAAAGCAATCAGTGTTCCTGGGAGAAATGGCTGAATTCAGGACTGGGGCAATACAGATAAGCTGATGCATCTTGTTCTGCCAGATAGAAAGGAAGAGCTCAAAGAATGATGGAGACATGTCAAACAGACACAGTAGCAAACCTGAAGGGGCTCACACAGGCCACACCTGCGACCATTTGAACATCAGAATAATAACAATAATGGATTATAAGCCGTCTAATAAAATAAGAAACTATGAGTCCATACAGATATAAATAAATTGAAAGTTTGGTGAGGAGTGGGGTACTTACATAGTTTTAAAGTACCTCTCTACAAAATACTTATTAATTACAAAGGAAAAAAAGAGGCCTGGAAAATCCCACCTTAGTGCAGTGGTCAAAGCAAACATCCCACCTGAGAGGATACAGTGAGAAGACCACGGCACCACTTCTGTGATATTCTTGCCAAAGATGCATAGCCTGAATCAAATCATGAGGAAACATTAAAAAAAAAATGAGGGACATTCTACCCTGCACTGGCCTGTGACTTTCGAGAGTCTCAAGGTCATGAAATCAAAGAAAGACTAATAAACTGTTCCAGATGGAAAGAGGCTAAAGAGAGATGACAGCCAAATGGAAAGCATGATTTTGAACTGGATCCTTTTGCTATAATGGACACCGCAGGGACAAGTAGTGAAACTTGAATGGGGTCTGAGGATTACCTGGTAGTAATGCATCAGTGTTAATGATGCTGGTTGTATTATATGTGTATATATGTAGGAGAATATTCTTGTTTGTAAGAAATACTGGAGCTGGCCCGGTGGCTTAGTGGTTAAGTTAGCGTGCTCCACTTCAGTGGCACAGGGTTCACCAGTTCGGATCCTGGGCGCAGACCAACGCACCGCTTGTCAAGCCTTGCTGTGGCAGCATCCCATATAAAGTAAAGGAAGATGGGCGTGGATGTTAGCCCAGGGCCAATCTTCCTCAGCAAAAAGAGGAGGATTGGCAACTGATATTAGCTCAGGGCTAATCTTCCTCGCCAAAAAAAAAAAAAAAAAACTAAAATATTTGAGGTGATGGAAAATCAGATAGCCACTTTCAATTAGTCTAGGAAAAAGAAATTTATCCTGTACTTGCAATATGTCTGTAAAATTTATGATTGTGCCAAAAAAATTAAACCACTTGGTTGGCAAAATTTTACATAGAAAATAAGCATATATATGAAAATAACTAACAAACTCTCCCATATGTATATAAGCAAGCAGCTTCCAACAGGCTCCTTATAATTGAGAAATCATAATAGTGAAAAATGGAATCAACCCAAATGTCCATCAAAAGGAGCATGGTTATGTAAATCTAAATATATTTATACACTGGAATACTACACAGCAGTTAAAATGAGTGAGCTGTTTGAGCATGAATAAATATTGTGAAAAAGTAAGTTGTGAAATAATAGAGATAATACTTGTGTAAGTGTTGTAAGCAGACCAAGTAATCCTGTGCACTTTAAGGATGTATGCATATGATGCAAAGCATATGAAGGTGGACAGGAGGAATGCACACCATTTCAGAATATGTGGTAACCTCCCAGGAAGGAGAAGCATGTAATTAGATGAGTTCAATTATTTCAGTATCACAATTTTTTCTTATCTGAAACAAAAATGGTAAACTGTTTCGCTAAATTTGTGGGTAGTAGGTATATGGGTTTGTGATAGATTATTCCCTGTACCTTCCTCTATGATAGAAATATTTCATTATTAATATTTTAAAACAGTAAGATAAAATAAAATTGTTATCAAAATTTCAGAGGCTCTGAGCAGAATTTGAAAATAAGATCAGGCCTGGCTATGAGCCACACTGAGGCTTTCCATACTAAACTAGTGCCCCCATGAGAACTCTCGGCCCAGCCCCCAGGATTCCAAAGTGGGCAGCAAAGAACCTCTGCCTGGATTAACCAGGGTGTGTGAGATGCAGAAAAGAAAGGGAACAGCATTTCTGAAGAGGGAGAGTGTGAGCTGAAAGATACCAAGCCCTTGACTTCCCCAGGAAATATTTTCTCTAGAAGAGAATCATGCTCTCGGATTAACATGAAGGGGCTATGAAGAGTTGTTTTATGTACCGTTATGTAGACGGTAGGAAATTATCTCCAATTTTAATACGTGCAGACACAAATGTATTTTTATACCTTATTAATTATACATAATACCAGACTTGATGTTGTGATATGATTATATAAAATGTTCCTGTTATATTGTGACTCCTTAATGTTAATTAAAGCAATGTAAATAATGAGGGAATTGTTCCTGCCAGACCACATTCCCTCGAGGTTTGCACCACATCACCGACCATTTCATAATTCACATAACTGCGCTCTCTGCTCTTTTAAATCCTCGCTTTATAGTAGACACCATCAGTAAGCCTGTTGTTCAAGTGTAGGTGGAATTTTTGTCTTTTTGTAATTGATTTTCAGGAACTTTTCTCATTTGAGTTTCAGATCTTCCTGTGTTATCAGTTAAACTTAAATGTTCTCTAATAGACTGTGCCTGACTAAGCAATGTACTTGATTAGGAGGGAAATGTCGCTGTTTCTGAATGGGATTCATTCTCCCTTTGCCTTGTTACAAGTGGACACTGGGGGAGCAAAGCTACCCCAGGGAGTCACCTTAACTGGGTCGGCTTCGTCTCCATTGTGCGAGGATGGAGATGTGGACCCGGAACTGATGTAAAACTTGATCTTTAGATTCTGTTCAAATATGTTCTCATCTGCATCAGTCTAGAAAAAGAAGTTAGGGAGAACAAAAATTCAAGAGATCATTGTATAGAATTCACAGCTCTTAATATAAGTCATGAACACTACAATCTCTCTCAAAAACAAGATTATAATTTTAGTATTTTTTTTTAGAAGTATTTCAACATACAAGGCTGTAGCCATATGCTACAATAGTGAGCAAAGCTGTTCCCGCCTGCCCCTATGAGCTCTTCAGCATGCACTCTGTTCATGGCCATCCTTCGGTTCCGTGCAAGTACCTTGATGTCAAAAGAAATTGAGCAGGTGGAGTCCATCCAGAGTGGGTAATAGAGAAATGACATAGAAACTAAAGATAAGAATTCTGTCCCTGAGGGGACCTGATGAAGGGGTTCAGAATATGCCATCCCCAAATATGCCGCTTTGGCATATTGATTATTTTGAATTAAAGTTACTTGAGAAATAGCCAGTGTAAGAAGGACACTCTGACCCTCCTTTGTCTTCCTGAAAGCAGGAAATAAATCTCCCTTGTGAAAGGTACCCTCCCTGTACCAGGAGGAGGAAAGACATTCTTATCACCAGAGACAGAGAATTTGGGGCCAAGAAGGCTATATAAACAAACTTTGTTAAACTAACCCATATCCTCCTAGTTACTTCTTCACCATTTATTACCCATAGCCCAAACCCCTTTGTCTTGTCGGTTCTTCACAAATTTATTGTTTCTTTGTCTAAATGGTATAAAAGCTTCTTGTCCTGGTCACTTTGGGTCTTCATGCTCTTGTGAAAGCTCCCATGTATAGGTCAAAATTCAATTAAAATTAGTATGTTTTTCTCTTGTTAATCTATCTTATGTCCGTTTAATTCTTAGGCCCAGCTGGAGACCCAAAGAGAGTAGGGGAGAATTTTTCCTCCCCTACACTGGATTTGACATTAAATTAAAGTAAAAGAAACTAATCAGCATTGTGACTTATGATGCAAAAGTAAACCCCTGCTTATTTCACAGCATAGAAATACTGGCACGTGGGGTCACCATCTTTTATGTTAAGAAATATTTTAACTTTAGTTTGGAAGATCATATAGTGCATAATGTAGTGATTTCCAAAGTTATAAAGTTTCTTAAATGAACTGCAGAGACAGCTCCAGGATTTCTATATAGGAGAGGGTTGGACAGAAGACGAGGGGAGGCTCTTTGGCAGCCCTCCTGTGGTTGTGTGTACACAGTGTTTTGTATGGTACTGGAGAATAAAAGTGTGTTTTGCTACCTTCTTTACACCTAATATTTAAAATACGTAAGATGGTGGTAGTGGTGGTGGTGGTGACAGCAGTTGTAACTGGGAATTTAAGGATTTGGGGGCGCTGGAAGAGATTATAGAAAGGCTAACACGGCCCTGAGCACCCCTTAGTCTTGAAGCCACCATTGATGAAAAGTCCTATGGGTTTGTGTGAGCAAGTTCTTGGGCTAAAAGAACAAACTCTTTTTAGAGAGTCAGGCCAAATAATAAGGAGCAGAAATAATTGATGATGTGCAAAGCAAAAAGCTCTGCTTAGTAAATTACTTCCTAAACTTGTTTTCTGTTAAAGGCAGCATCAAATATGTGGCTTAAATCCCCAAATGCCCTGGTTTTTCCTCCAATTGGAGACAGTATCTTCCACTGTTAATTCATGTGACCACTGTTGTGAAATATGATACACTGCTTGTATAATATTTGATGGTTTTTTGGTGTGGAGAATTTAAAAGTTTGCTTTTGGATTAATTTCTGGTACTAGTTTTTATATGGTTAATAGTTTAGAAATCAGCAAGACTCGCAACAAAATAATTAAGCCTAACACTGAAGGTTGAGACCTAAAGACCAGCAATATCTGCCTATCACTTATTGCTAACAAATGTAGTCGCTGGTAGGGTCGTGAGCCTCACTGAGGGAGAGCCCTCGTCCACTGTGCCATCCAGCACTCATCACATTGCCTGGTACAACTGGAACTCAAGTCTTTCCACCTTCATTAGCTGCTGCCTCTACACTCCAACCTCCCAACCTCTGACCACAGCCATGTCGGTTCACACTCACTCCCTTCTATTGCACCAGCTATTCTGTTTACATCATTTCTATTTTTTTTTTTTTTTAGTAAACTTGTTTTTTAGTGTGAGATGTAGCAAATATAGGGAAAAGGGCATAGGTCATATATATAATGTTAATTAATTATTATAATGCAAACAGTCAGAAAAGTACCACCTACGTCAAAAAACAGAATGCTTCCAGCCCCCAGAAGCTCCTCCTGTACCCCAGTCACAACCCTTCCTCCCCAAAGGAAACCACCTTTGGCACAGTACTCGTCTCTTTGCATTTGTTTAGAATTTTAGCACATTAAGTGTGTCTCCCTAAACACTACTCTAGTGTAAGTGCTTCCATTAAGCTTTTGATTATAATGTAAGTGCCTGACATTAGCTTTTGATTGCAGAGGCATCCATTTCAAAAGACATCCATCCTGAATAAACATATTGCCAGCTGTATGACACAACTACTAGCAAAACAACCAGATAAGGAATTAGGTCACCACCACCAATGAAGATCCCTCTTTCAGAAAGCCCTTGATGGCCTAGATAACTAACTACTTGAGTGACCTCGATTCTCCATTCCGGTGCCCTAATTCCCACTTTTATGCTTTAAATTAGACAATAAAGAGTGAAAGCATGAAAACTAAGATACCCCACACTCCACCGTAATGAAGGCAGAGCCCTAGGTCTGAGCACACACTCTCGCCCTCTGGCTCTCGCCTGGCTCTGTGGCTGTTGGGTGTGCCACGTACCCTCCTGGACCTGTGAGTGATAAATCTTGTTCCTCCAAGTTCTCTGATGGTTTTTGTTGAAGTGCATCCTGCAATCATAATAAGAGCCACAGGGCTGGTCCAGCCACAGCATCGGCCCCAGTAGGGGACATCTCCACGGGGCTCCCTGCAAGTAATAAGGCCCAGGCAAAGGCCTCAGGCGTTCCTGGCCAAGAGCATCACTATCGATAGTCTGAGACTGACACAACCACCATTGTTTAATTTTGCTCATAGTGCCTTCTCTTTTGTGCCTGGATTTTTTCACTCAACATTACGCTGATGAGATTCATCCATGGGGTTTTGTGTAGCTGTAATTTATTCATTTTTATTGCTATATAGTATTTCATTATATTAATATACAAGAATTTCTTTATTCATTGACAGTTTCATGAAAATTTGGGTTCGTCTCTGTTTTAGCTGTTATGAACGTGCTTGTACATACTTCCTGGCATATAATAGGCAAGCATTCCTATAGGATGTGTTTTTAGGTTGGAATTGATGGTGCTCAGGGCAGGCCACCCCAAGATGCACCACTCTGGTATGCGGATTATTTCAAGCTGAAGACAATAAAGGCTCAGAAGGCTCAGGAAGAATATTTGAGCTTCCCTTCCCAAACTGTTTAAAAAAATTTAACATAAAAGGAAGGAGGTGACAAGAAAGGCACCAACAAGCTCATCTTATCAAAATTCTGTCTCTCCGGCCACATTGTCTATAGATGGCCCTGTAAATAATTGTCTGACATTCACGTTTCCCTGTCCATGGGAATTGTCTTCTTCCCCTCTGAAATCCCAAACCACTACCCCCCCAACACCTTCCACGCCTTTAGCTACAATACTTAAGCAAGCAGCTTAGACAGAATGACCAGTTGCTCAGCCCTCTGAGTTTCTCCCATGTATACCTGTTATTAAACTTGGTATTATTTTCTTCTGCTAACCTGTCTTTTAATTATTTGGCCAGCCATAAGAATCTTAAGGGAAAGAGTGGGGAGGGATTCTCCCTCTTCCCCTACAGAATGATGGTATATACAGGTTTCCATTGCTCCACGTACTCACCATCCTTGCCCTTGCAGTGTTTTTATTTTAACAATGTAGTGGCATCTCATGAAGTTTGGAACTTTTACTATGTTTATTGTCTATTCAGATTTCGTCTTTCCTGAATTGCCTAAGTTTCTTGCCACTTTCCCACTGAGTTGACTGTCTTTTTCTCATTGATCTATGGAGTTCTTTGTATACAGGCATACCTTGTTTTATTGCGCGTTGCTTTATTGTGCTTTGCAGATACTGTGTTTCTTACAAGACCCTCCACCAGCAAAAAGATTATGACTCGCTGAAGGCTTAGATGATGGTTAGCATTTTTTAGCAATAAAGTGTGTTTTAATTAAGGTATGTACATTGTGTTTTTTAGACATAATGCTATTGCACACTTAATAGATAACAGTATAATGTAAACATAACTTGTATATGCACTGAGAAACCAAAAAGTTCATGTGACTCACTTTATTGCAGTATTCGCTTTATTGCTGTGGTCTGGAACTGAATCTGCAATGTCTCCAAGGTGTGCCTGTGTTCTGGTTACGAGCCTTGGTTAGTTGTATGTGTTGCAAACATCTCTCTGCACTCTGAGGCTTGTGTTTTAATGATCTTTTTCCCACTGCTCTGCAGTACTAGCTTTATAATAAATCAATATTCGTAAATACATTTTTTTCTAGAGACTGTTGTGTCCCATTGGTCTACGTGTCTATGCTTTTGCCAGTATCATATTGTTTTAATTGCTATAGTTTTATAGTAAATCTTGACATTTTATAGAGTAAGCTCAGCCAATTCTCCATATAATGGAAAAAATTATATAGTGAAGAAAAATTAGGATTTTTATCAAGATTATATTGAATCTTGACATATTATATTGAATCTTCAGTCTTGATGGAATCTCGACTGAACTGATATATAATCAGTTAAGGGAGAATTAAAATATTTATAATATTGAGTTGCTAAACTCTTTCATTAATTATAATAATTTATTTGAAAAGGCCCTCCATATCATATTCAATAGAAATAGTCATAGCAGGCATATTTGACTTGTTCCTAAACATCAAAATGGAAATGTGTCAGTATTTCACCATTAATTATGCTGTTTGCTATGAATTTTGTTGCTGTTGCTGATACCTTCCATCAGATTAAGCAAGTTCTTTTCTATTTCTAGCTTGGGAAGAGGGTTTTTGTTTCTGTTTCTGTATCATAAAAGGATGTTGAATTTTATCAGATGTTTGTATACTTTCATTGAAATTATGACTTTTATTTTTTAATCTGCTACTATGTTATGCTAATTCATTTTCTAGTGTCAAACTTTGTGTTACTGGGATAATACCAAATTATCTTGCTGTATTATTCTTTTTATATATAACTGGATTGAATTTAGCAAATTTTTTAAAGAACTCTTTATGTTCAGCATTTCATTGGAATTCCCATTATATAGCTAAGAGGGTTCAAAAGGTCAGATTTGGTATGTGTTTCATGAAGATGTTCCACCTTTGGGCAGTAACAATGAAATATATTGAAAATAATGCATATAATCTTTGAATTTTTCCAAGGAATGACATTGCTACCAGCACAGCTGAAGCCATGCATGTTCTTGTTAAAATTCAAACTGCGGTTCAAAGAATGCTTCTGTATTTTCAGCCAAAATTCTGGATTTTATATCTTTTTCTTTAACAACTATGTGGGCATCATTATCATAGCCTTACCCTTAACAATCTTTTAAATCAGTGGCTAGGATTTAAAGTCGTGTTTTCCAGTTAAGACAAAACCTGTATTTTTCACAACAGGTATGAAACCAATAAAATAGTCATTAATTTCAAAAAAAGAATTCTTTATGTTCAGAAGTCAGATTAGACTGTCATCTGCCCTTCTAATATTGTCCTTATCAGGTTTTGGTATCAAGTTACACTACTGACATAAAATGATTCAGGAGTGTCTTAGTCAGCTAGGGCTGCCAAAACAAAATACCACAGACAGGGTGACATAAACAATAGGAATTTATTTCTCACAGTTCTGAAGGCTGGAAGTTTGAGATCAGGGTGCCAGCCTGGTTGGGTTCTGGTGAGACCTCTCTTCCTGGTTTGCAGATGGCCGCCTCCTCACTGTGTCCTCACATGGAAGAGAGAGAGAGAAAGCTCTCTCTCCTACTCTTCTTATAAGGCCACCAATCCTATCAGACTAGGGTCCCACCATTATGATCTCATTTAACCTTAATGACCTCCTAAAAACTCTCTCTCCAAGTACAGTCACATTGGGGATCAGGACTTCAACATAAGAATTTGAGGAGGGTGCTGGCCCGGTTGCATAGTGGTTAAGTTTGCACGCTTCACTTTGGCAACCTGGGGTTCGCGGGTTCGGATCTCAGGCGCAGACCTGCGCACCATGCATCAAGCCATGCTGTGGTGGCATCCCACATACAAAATAGAGGAGGATTGGCACAGATGTTAGCTCAGAGGTGATCTTCCTCAAGCAAAAAAAAGAAAAGAATTTGAGGGGGACATAATTCATTTCATAGTTTTTTGCCCCTGGCCCTGCAAAATTCATGTCCTTCTCACATACAAAATACATTCATTCCACAACAGTCTCAAAGTCTTAACTCATTCCAGCAACATCTCTGAAGCCTAAAGTCCAAAGTCTCATCTCAGTATCACCTAAATGAGGCACAGGTGAGGCTCAAAGTGTGCGTCATCCTGAGGCAAAACTCCTCTCCAGCTGTGAACCTGCGAAACCAGACATGCTGTGTGCTTCCAAAGTACAGTGGTGGGACAGCCATAGGATAGACATTCCCATTCCAAAAGAGAGAAATAGCAGAGAAGGAAGGGGGCATGGGTCCCAAGCTAGTCCAAAACTTAGCAAAGCAGGTCCCATCAGATCTTATAGGCTCGAGAATAATTCTCTTTGGCTCAGTGTCTCACCTTCCAGCCCTCTGAGGTGGCAGCGTCACTCCACGGCTCTGTCTGCCCTCTGAAACCGAGGAGGAAATAGTTTTGCCCCCTGAGCCTGTGGTGGGAGTGGCAGGCTTTATGATCTCTGAATTGCCTTCAGGGTCATTCTTCCCTTTCCTTGAAGAATAGTGCCTGTTCACAGCTGAGTAGCTCTATGGTCCAGTCCGGTAGAATCCAAGAAGTCCAACAGCATTCCTTCATTCCCTCACGCTTTCTCTGTCCCCTTTACTTCAAACTGGCAGTGTCTC